ACATGCTGACACACCGGATTAGCCAAGGTACATCTTCCCTGTTAGCCGATCTTAATAACACCTTTGCAGCGGTAGGTAAGCGCATTGAAAATATTCCTGTCGTAGCATCCCTTAGCCCGGATGGGCCCTCACACAGACTTATTCCTTCTGTCGGATCTGGTGAGATTCGATGCAGTTTTCTATGTGGCTACGGCGTTTAAAGGATGTCATGAGGATGCGATCCGCTTCGTTGACACCCCAGCAGAAGGCATGGTTCCTCATCGGGTACTCGGATTGCGCAGCACGAGAGAAAGTCGAGCAGCTCCCTGTGAGAGCTACGACGCCATAGTCGCCCATCTCAGGAAGTCGTTCGAAAGACCTCAGCACAGGTACATGGCGCGGCAAGCTCTGTCTGCTTGTAAGCAACAAACAGGTGAATCTTCTGCTGCATTTGCTAACCGTCTACTCACTTTGGTCCGCACAGCCACTACAGTACAGGATCCAGCTACCCAGAAGGAGCGCGTCTTGGAGGAGTTTGTCGCACGCCTTCGTCGAGATATCAGGTATTATGTCAAACTTGATGGCCCATCATCGTTTGAACAGGCCGTTTCAAAGGCTCAGATGGTAGAGCAGTTATTAGCCGAGGCTACAGCGGATTGTTTGATCACACCTTCAGCCTATTGAACTAGACCTATTGAAGTCAAGACAACAGCGCCTACAGGATTCAGTCCCAGACGCGACCAGCGCCCTCGGGCATTTAGCCCTAAGCAGGGGCGGTATCAGGAATCGAATCCTCGGTTCAATCTAAACCGTCAATTTCTAAGGCAGCGCAACGGTGGCTATTCTCGAGACGCCCAAGGAGGACCTGCTCAACCCTGCTACAACTGTGGAGGTACCGGACGCTTCGCTCGGCAATGCATCGCCACGGAACCAGCGCAGCCTACAGGTACCCCTTCTTATAATGTGCGTTCTCGTTCGCTTGACCGTCATGTGCCTCATTCTTCTCCATCTTCTGAGCTGTATCCAGCTCGTCGTGATCAGTCTCACGACCTTTTGGAAGCCCGCGAGCAAATTCGAGCNCTCTCTGTTTCTCTGCGCGAAAACCAATCAGCGCTAGAACGATCGAAAGCGAGAGCACATGTTCTCATTAAACGTAACGAAGAATTAGCTCAAAGTTCTTTCGGCGGTTTGCCCTCCTCTTCTTCTAGATCTGGTTCGACTCACTTGCCTCAGGTCAAGTTTCTATTGCCTCTCTCGTAGCACTTTCACTTTGCGGGAGCACTATGGCTCTCCCGATGTCCGCGTGGTTCTCCCCGGACACGTTTATGAGAATTCCATCTTCATACAACTGCTCGTATATTATTCCTCGCCTCGGTGATACTCCTCGCCCTCTCTCTATGTATATCGCCCAAATACGAAACGTTACGAAACATCTGCATTCCTTTGCAAGATCATGACGCACATAGTGACCTATTCGGTTAACTTCTTTGGGGCACGATTTGAGAACCATTCTGAGACCTTAGAAATTGTCCCCTTTGAAACCTGTAAGCTCATGATCCAACATCACCGATGCGCTCATGAGAACCTGCAGTCAACTAGCGACACTTGGACTACCTCTAACGTTCTGTATATCTCGTGGCCCTCCGCCCCATTTGGATGTTGCTCTGACCACCGCGCGTCTGCGACTAATTGCTACGTGATACCCACTGTAATCCTTATGCGTCATGGGTCTACTTAACCAGACTCCACGGCGGGTGACCTTAAACACTGCAGCTACAGCGCAGGTGGTTGTACTCTACGTGACGGCTCCGCCTTGGTGTGGATACCCAACACCGGAGAGGAATGCCAATTCGTGCCAGTGACCAAGATGTCCGGCCGTAGCGTCGGCGACATCTGGATAAGTGACTCCAAGGAGTTCGCATTGTCTTGGCGCAACACCAGCAGTCAGATCCAAGACTGCGGCAGGGATCTCACGATTTCCGAACAAGGGTACGCATTGGCGTCCATCACCAAGGTACCGCGCCAACCACCTATGACGTCGGTGTAGTTCTCTGCAACCAGTTGGCGGCGCAGCTCCTGGCAGCAGAAGGGTCGATGGGATCTACGGTGACAGCTTTGTTCCACCACGCGCTCACCGCTCTCGCGATAGGACCAACTTGCTGGCGTTAACCCTGCACACGTCCCTGAAGAACGATCCCACCTCTACCGTGCGCAGCCTACTCGGACGTCAAAACTTGGCGGCTCCTTTCCTTGGGAACGAGATCGTCCGTATCCACCTCTGTATTCAGGCACCCTCGCAAAACGTGCGTCTTATACGGTTCAATAGCATGTGTTATGCTAAGCCCGCGGTGGAGCTCACGCTGCCTCGAGGGACGTCACTGCGCTCGTTTATAGACCCCACGACCCGCGTCATCACTAGGGACGCACAGCCGATCTCGTGCTCTTCCGTGCCTCAGTTTATTTTTGCTCACCCGTCAGGTTATTTCAAGTACGACGCGTTGTCTGGTGCGAAAGTTTTACCACCATCGGCGACGTGACGGCGGGCTACCGGGGAATCTTAAAAAATCTCTGCTCTCTCTCTTCCCCTTACTATTTTTCACAATCTGGTATTGACTAGTTTGAGTGAATTAGTTCAAGAGCACCAATTGTGGTCGACGGTAAGTCCAGATCGGCTCTTTTTGGTCCAGGACCATGAAGTCCACACGTCGTATTTAGCCTCATCATCTGTCTCTCCGCTGTCTGCGATGTGGTCTTTTCTCTTCGGTTCGTGGTCTTGTTTTGGAGTATGGGTCAGCTTTTGTTATGCTGTTGTCTCTGTCAGGTTGCTCAGCAGCTTCGCCGTTTTGTATCTCACTCTATATTATCCAGGGCGGCTGTCCCAATTCAAAGACCTGTTTCATTCCAACCGCTCCCAACTGGAGCCGACACAAACGGACCCTTCGGGTCACTCAGAAATGCGCTCTCCGCCACCGCAATACCGTATTTCTGCTGTAGAACTTCCTCGAATAGAGACTGACGCCAGCAATTCGTGGCCTCCTCGAGCAATCATGAGTACCGTGAACGTGTTAACTCTTTCTGATTCACATCACTTCTTCGTAGCTCAAATCCCCATTCGGGTCAATAATATTCATGTTCTTGCTTTGGTCGATACAGGCGCCTCTATTACAGTAACCGCAGCAACTACCGCTTCCCTCTTTGATATATTCGATCTTGCCCAAAGCGAGGTTTCTAGCGCCTTAGGGAAGTCCGGAAATCCAATTCGTTTACTGGGTAGAGCTCTTCTCAAGTTTGAGGTCGAGTCGCTCATCTTTAACCACCCAGTCTATTTCACAGAGTGTTCCTGCATTCCAGATGTGGCAGACTCCTATAACATCATTATGGGGAATGACCTGTTGCGGCACAAGAGGATCCCCAGGTAAGAGAATCAATTACGGTCCGCGTAGCTACCACGATCGTGCTCCCTCCTTCAGCGGAGACTTTTGTGCCATGCCAGACTGACAAGACCGACGACCATCCTCTAATGTTAACTAGGCAGAGCGACCATCTTTCCGACAGATCACTCATGGTAACCCCCGCAGTCATCAACTCCGGGCCGGCGATGTTACTGATTGCCAACCCATCCCCTCAACCAGAGGTACTCTATAAAGGTCAACAGATCTCTAGTGCTGTGCACCTGTACGAGCAGTTCGGCTCGCTGGAAATGCCAACATCATCTCTGTGTTTGACACCACTTGTCGGAACAATGAATAACATGGCGGTTCGCCCCCTCACAAAGACTTGTTTAGATCCAGAATGGATCAATCTATCTCATGCCAAGATTTCTCCGCAAGAACGCGCGCAATTAGCTCAGGTATTTCATGATTCCATGATCGAATCTCAACCTCTACTTACGATTCGGGTTCTTACGAAGAAAGCGAAATTGTTATAAAAACTACCACTGGTGTTCCTCCTCATCGCTATCGCCCTCCTCGGGTACCATTGGAGTTCCGAAACTAGCTGGACGAGCACATTAATCGTTTGCTACGCTTAGGTAGGATTGTCGGGAGCGATACCCCAGGGGTTCATAACACGATGCTTGTGAAGAAGAAGGATGGTTCTTTACGTGTTTGTTTGGATTTTCGCCCTCTGAACGAGGTGATCATACCGGATCACTACCCGCTTCCGAGGATCGATGATAACTTATCCAAGATTTCAGGTCACAAATATTACACCACCTTAGATCTGGCATCAGGGTATATGCAACTTCTGTTGTCCCCGGAAAGCCAAGAAAAATGTGGCTGGATTACTCATCGCGGGATCTACCAGTTTGTATACCTTCCTTTTGAGCTGTAGAACGCGGGAGCCTATTTTTCTCGCGCTATTAGAGGACAACTGCATGGCGTACCTAGGCGACATTGTGGTGTTCGACAAAGACTTTCCCAGCCACCTTGCTTCCTTGAGAAAGGTTTTTCATAGATTTCGCCTTCACAACATTAAGGCGTCCGGTAAGAAGCTGACAGAAATAGCCCGTTCTAAGATCAACTTTTTGGGTCAGGAGCTGTCAGGTCATCGTTATTCTCCTACTGACCGCAATTTTCGGGCCATCCGCGACTTTCCGACGCCGACGACAATCAAGGAAGTCAAAAGCTTCGTAGAATTTACGGAATTTCTTCCGTAAATTTATCGCTAATTTTGCATTGATCGCGTCCCCGCCTTATGCGCTTTTCAAGGACAAAGCTCAGTTTATGTGGGGCATCGAGCAAGAAGCTGTTCAGCGACTCAAGCAATTGCTGACTTCCAAGCCCTGCCTAGCTTTTCCGCAAGACAAAGCGTTTTTCTTACATACTGACGGGAGTCAACTCGCGGTGGGTGCCGCTCTATTCCAGACCTGTTTCGAATCCCCGACGCAGCTAGCAGCTGTGGGATACTTCAGTAAAGCTCTGTCTGACTCGCAACGTAAGTGGAGCCCGACCCATATAGAGCTATTCGCCATAATCAGCGCTCTACGGTTCTTCCGCCCCGTCATATACGGTAATCATACGACCGTCTTCTCAGATCATAGACCTTTAACGTACCTGCTGAAGCACAATAAGACCCACGACAATTTAGCTCGTTGGGTAATTGAACTCCAGAGCTACAACGTCTCCATAGAATATCTTAAGGGTTCTTCAAATGTAGTAGGGGACAGCTTATCCCGAGTAGTCGACAAGAACGTTCGATTCGGGGGCAATACCCCCGAAATAGACGATATCGTGGGGTTCCCGGTAAGTATTAACGTTTTCCGTCAGGCTCCCTACTCGGTTCGTCCGTCCGTTCTTTGTCTCGGTCAGTTCCGTGCCATTCGTCCATATGACGCCTTCCTAGAGAAGAAACAGGACGACTTTTGCTCGTTGATTGCCACCTTTATAGAGACTCAGCGGTTTCCGACCACAGTTCCCGACGAACAACGGCCCTTCTCGTTGAGCATTGTGTGATTCAGAAAAATGGTTGCTCATATTATAGAGATCCAGTCCTGAGTACGTCGTGTGCGACTGTTTGTTGCGGAGAAGTTCAAAGAACCTGTCTTTTTGGCGCTTCATTCAAGTCCTCCAGCTGGCGGCCATTTTAATTGGCGCAAAACGCCAGCCAAGATATCACGCAAGTATTTCTGGCCCCACATGGCGGAGGACATCTTTGCTTTGGTTCGATCATGTGAACAATGCCAACGTAAGCGAAACCAGCAAACTAACCGCGAACTTTTGGCCCCGGTCACGAGTGGCGCTATCTTCGATAGGCGCTATCTTCGATAAGGTGTACGCCGATTTGACCACTCCTTACTTCAGAGAACAAAGAACAGATAGGCAACAAATACATCCTAGCCATGATTGACCACTTCTCGAAGTATGTCATCGCCACCCCCTGCCAGTTTGCGCCGCGATTACTGTAGCTCACGCGATAATGTCGGATTACATCCTGGTCTATGGAGTGATGACGTAACTGGTATCCGACAATGCTTCTTATTTCAAAGGAGAAGTTCTTCCCGAGGTCGGACGTTTGCTGCGCATTAGCCGCTATTTCACGACACCTTACCATCATGAAGGCAACGGAGCATGTGAACGAGTGTTCACCACCTTTCATCCGTTGCTTCGCACCTATATCGCTGAGAACCAACTCGACTGGGACAGGGACCCTGTATTCAATATTGACCTGCTTATCAAACATGTTTTGGAGCGTCACACAAGCTCTCTGGCGTGTATTCACCTCGCAATGGACGCCAGTCGAAGAGCAGGCGGCACTGTCTGCCGCCGGGGCTACGGAATTAGCGATGCCCGGTCACTCTCATTAGGAGACTCGAACCGACTCTTTACTCTCGTTCTCTCAAGCCATAGACAGTGCGCCACACGATCCGGTAGCATCGGATAAATCACACAAGTTCATTCCGCACCGGATTCCGGTCCAAACGTAGACGTGATACATGCTGGCCCAACACCAGCCTCGG